CCCCCCTCTCTCAACGTCAGTCTCTTCTCCATGAATACAACCACGATTCTCCATTGATTCATCTCCATTGTCTCGCGAAATTTTCTAATTTTTTTGCTCCAAAAGGTTGTGGTAAGTGTTAAAGTTGATAGATTTTCGCTGGTATCGGAATTGAATGGAATAGACAAGACAAAACGAATCAGAAAAAGATAAAGGAGAAACAAAAATCAGGAGAAATACAAGTGCAGATCTCAAAATTTTCAAAGCAGAAATGAGAGATTCACTAACTGGACGACCCAAAGGGCGCCGGTACCGGCGGCGACGCCCCACATGGCGTCGGCTTAGATATCGGTGGATTGGGGACGGAGTTTGGGGCTGAGGAACTTGAAGAGTCCGTTACCTTTATTTTCATTGTATTCAATGTATCTCGTTGTATTCTATGTATTTCATTGTATTCACTGTCTTTAGTTTTTTTTTATTTTTTCAATATATTCACTATATTTAAATGTATTCAATGTATTGTATATATGTATTCAAATGTATCTATAGTATGTATTCATATGTTTTTACACTATAGATGACCTGCTATACTTCATGTATTCATTATATTTTTATGTATTTAACTGTGTTCAATGTAATTATATAATTCTATTTGTAAAGATACCACTAAAAAATATTTTAGTAAAGATACCACTAAAAAAGAAAGGATGGATTGAATCTCTGGAGATTGCTATATTTTTGGGGTGTTTTTCGGCTGAGAATCTTTTTTATAACTGGAAATACAAATTTTGCGCATTATAATTGAGTTTGTTGAGTTATATTATGAGTCTATCGCATTAATTGATTCACTTACCGTTTTTAAACAACTGAAGACCTTTTTTTCGCAGATTTATGTTAATGTATTCACGAATACAGCTCGTGAATACATATGAATATAATCTATGTTTAGCTAGACTTCCTTATTTTCCGCAGAGTTTTGCTACTGTATTCATGAATACAGTAGCTTGAATACATCGAATATACTCTATAACAAGTGAAAACATAGCTATCAGAAGTAATAAAGTAAATGGTAGCTATAGCAAGTTATTAGCCACTAAACAATATTCATTTCTGAAAATTCCTCATGAAATAATTGAGTTGCACACAAGCTAGCCCAAACACCATCATTGTAAACAAAATACAGTCAAAGCAGAGAAACTAGCGAAAGAATTATCTCCATATGCATCTTTATTTTAGGGACATGGATTTGAATTTTCTTCTATGAAATAAATTAGTACAAACTTTATTCTCAATTATTTGGGAATCTGTATGAGGTAATCTGTATAATCAAATGGACTATACAGATTACCAAGCCAACACTCCCCCAAAAACACTATATCTCTAATATCTGGAACATAATCTCAAAAGAACTGCAGAAACAACTTACTCGAATAGGTGAAAGAGACAACCAACTCATCACACGTACGTATATTTAGAAAAAGTTATGGTCTTTAGAATTGTTCCATTATTTTTCAAGGAAAGCCAATTTAATCTGCAAAATATATCGCAACCAACTACTTGCATTTCCAAATAAAAAAGGAACAGTTCATTATCGATCTCGCCAATGTAACATTATAACTGATGCAATCTGAAACTTTTTACAAGTATAAAGTAAGTTCTTAATGGGATGGACTCATAAGAACCTCCATATATCATTTTTCTTTCTCATATCACAAATTTTAGCAATAAGCAGAATCTCTACATGAATAACTTTCAATATAAAATTTACACACATCATTTAATCAGTTAATTAATTACCTCAAGAAAAGTATTATGTTCAATGTATAAATCAGCCCCTCCCTGCATTACCATGCCGTTGGTTTCTGAAGTAGCTAAGAAGTGCCTGAGCCTGCATATATCGGCATGTACATCTTAGAATACTTGATAAAGGATAGAAAAGGAAGTGTGCGGTTTCTGTAAAATTGTACCTTTTCTCTGGCTCTAGGAGTTCCAGACTGTGACAATGCCACTAATGGAGGTACAGCTCCTTCCTGGAGAACCATGTTGCAGAATCTGCTACTGTTAGTGCATAATTGCAACAGAGCTGCTGCTGCATTCTCCTTACCTCTTGCGGAACCCAACTCAACAACCTCAACCAGAACAGCAATCCCTCCTTCCTGACCAATTGCTGCTCTTCCCTCGTGAATGGTTGCAAGATTTGACAAAACAGCAACAGCCTTGTCGACCATCCCAGCAGCGGGGTCCATCAACTCTACGAGAAACTTTACAGCACCAGCCTGCACAATGCGAGCCTTGTTTTCATGAAGTATTGACAAGTTAAACAAAGCTGTTGCTGCATCCTTCTTTCCCCTAGGAGTTCCATTACCCAACAAATCCACAAGAGGTTTTATAGCCCCAGACCTCCCAATCTTCATCTTGTTATCCTCAATCACAGAAAGGCTAAAAAGTGTAGCAGCGGAGTTTTCTTTAGCCTCAGCAGTCCCTGTTTGAAGGACATGAATCAGAGGTTCAATTGCATCGGCATTTGCAATCAAACACTTGTTGTTGTCATTAATTGATAAGTTGAGAAGTGCAGTAACAGCATTTTCCTGTACATTCATGTCTTCCGAATGAAGTAAGTTGACCAACAAGTTGATAGCACCACAGCTTGCAATTACAATACGATTATCCATATTGTGCTTGGCAAGTAATCGGAGTTCAGCTGTGGCATCTCTTTGCACATCAATGGAATCGCTATTCAAGTCCTGAACTAGCTTCCTCACTTGCTCCTCAACTTCCAAAAGATCAGCCCTTCTTTCGACCGTAGCAGAAGAAACTATTCTAGGAAACCTCTCAGAAGGTCTACGCCAGATGGATTGATTTCGAGCTCTTGTCTCCAACATGGATGGGAATTCCGGCTCCCTTCGTAGGACAGACAATGGAGCAGCAGGACGGGATTCTGACACATCCCCTGAAGCATCAGTCGCAGCCGCTGCTGACCTTGAAGACACTTCATTTCCATCACCAGAAATTGCAGGTGAAAAGTTTGAATTAGATAGTGTGCTGGGTGCCGAGGTAGTTCGATTATGACCTACAAGGGAGTGTTCATCGGCTGCTAACATACTATTACCAGTTGATTTTATCTCTCCAGAGTGGGCCATACGTTCTTCAGAACTCTTAATAGATATCCTTTCAACATCCAGAGCAAGCATATTACTAGCAACTCCAGGTAAAGAATCATCTGAAGAGGAATGGGGATGGGATGGAGATGATCCTTCTCTTTGGTTTATACTTGATGAAATCAAACTCTTCCTAGGAGAACTTAAAGAGCGAGCAGAATCTGGTGACGAAGAGTGATTGCCCCTCGGAAGGGGAAAACCCTGGGTATCCCTGGGCACACCAGAATCTGCATGTGCTAGAAGTGAACACGGCTGATTCAAGCTCAGAGATTTCATCGGATCAGGCAGCTTTACATTGTTTGATTCACACCAATTTGCAATAAGTGCCTTAACAGTGTAATTAGGAATGAGATTTGTGTGCCCCAGCGTTTGCCTTGTCTTAGGACAAACAGTAAGACCGAGATCAATCCATTTCCTTATAAAAGCTCGCTCATAAGTTTGTCCGGAAGCAACAATTACAGGGTCAGTCATCAACTCAAGTGAGAGGGGGCAACAAAAATCAGGAGGTATCGGCACAGGCGTGCAGGTCTGAGACTGCTTCATTGTGACAAAGCGGTCATGCATATTGGAAACAAGCGCTATAATTTGCTCAATATATTCAACTTCCTCACTCTTTTCAGCTTGTTCAGCGTTCTCCTTCAATTGTTCAAGGGCCACAAGCTCAATCAAAAGCTCTTTGTTTGAGTTCAATCTAAGGCAATCGGCAATTTTTGCAAAGCTGTCTGAGCTTGCTCCCAACCCTTCCATTTGAGCCTTAATAGCCTTTGTGATAGTCATGGACATCAGTTCATAATCCACATACTTAATTTTTAGTATAGAGTGCTGCAATCCAAATACAAGACATCCCCTCAGGAAGTTAAATCACCATAAGTAAGGATGAAAAATTCTATCGGACAAAAAGAGCAGAGAGGAACATTACAGCTGGCGTAGGAATACGGCAAATAGAAAGGAGAAGAAGATCAGGAATGACCTGTTTTTGGCTCCCTACCTCAAGAGATGTCAAAGTTGTATCAGCAGGAAGGCATTGATGATAAGTTTTAAGTAGCTCGAGAATTTCAAGACTACATGTTCGGATTTTTACAATCAGTGATTCAGCTTGCAGAACCTATAGATCATCAACACATCAACAATATAAATATATTTGCTCAAAGTATTAAAATGCCTTAAACGTAAACCATAAATTCATTAATTGCACTACATCCCATTCTCATTCAGTATGCTGATTATGAATAAGAACAAATGGATCATCTGTCTTATTCAATAAATAAAGAGCATAAATATTGGACCATACAAAATAAACTTTACTGCCCAATGGTTGCCAGGTTTCATACAGCTCCCTCAGTCCATCAATAAATTGAGCTACTCTGCCAAATGCTTTCTGAAGCAGCTCATTGGAAGCTGCTTCAACATCAACAATGGCCTCAAGAATCGGCTTTAAAATATTCAGCACATCCTCATTCTTGCAATAATACCTCTGAACCAGTACATCACTTATGCTTTCACTTGATGATAAATGGAAAAATTGGGAGATGTTGTTGAGAAGAACTTTCAACAATGACATCTCCATTGCACCTGGTCAACCAAAAGTAGTAATCCTCAGTTACCTGAACCGAGCACAAAACCCGTCCTATAAGACACATAAATGACAAAAGATAATCACATAAAATATATGGTCAATTTATTGCAGTGATAATAATGCTGAAACTTCAGAGAAATAACGTCAGCAACATGTGTTTGTGTATGCGCGCACGCACGCACGCACACACACATGTGACGTGACTGCAGCTAAACATAAGAGCAGTTTAATATTTGAAGCCCCTCTTAGTTTCTATCACCTCAGCTTAGTATTGTCAATCAGCATCATATAGGACATAACCACACAGTTTTCAAGGGATCTATGATCATGGCATCACATCTAAACTTCCACTGCTGAATTGCTCTTTGTTATCTGTAATACATTTACAGTAACAGAAACAAGAACGGAGTCATTATGCCTTAAAACTCATTCAGATGTTGATCCCCAGTCTCATAGAACGGACTTGCTTGAAGCTTGTCGACCATGTTTCTTTCAAGGATGTCAATATTTGTTTCTTTATGAACTCAACAGACTCCAAATACTTCGGAAGATGCCTAGATGTCAGGAAAATAACTGAGCAAGAATTTCTAATATCTTATACTTCCATCTTTCTACTTATGCCAATCTCAGATAATATTCTATTAAACACCTAATTTTAGAACAATGTTCTACTAGCCATACAACAACAACAAACTACTAATTACCACGGTCAATCCATGGCTAGTTGGGATCAGTTATATGAATCCTAACAGCTTGTTTGGATGGTTGTTATGTACTTCCTCAGTTCCAATTTATGTGAACTTGTTTGACTGGGCACGGAGTTTAAGAAAAAAAGAATACTTTTGGAATTTGTGGTCCTAAACAAGTCAAAAAGGAGTCTAGAATATTTGTGTGGTTATAAAAGCTTCTTATTAAGTGTAGCATTGGAAATTTAAGCTAAAATATGTCCAAATTTAAAAAGGGGTCATTCTTTTTGGAACGGACCAAAAAGAAAATAGATTCACATAAACTGGAATAGAGGAAGTATCGTTTAATAACATATCGTATAGTATTGTATTGTATTCTACTGTATCGTTTTGGTGTATACAATGTTTGGCTATATTGTATTATTTGTCGTCGTTTCATGATATCATGCACCAACAATATGAAGAATAAACTTGCAATATTATTTTAACAAAGTAGGATACGAGATAGAATTATTATAAAAATAGGCAGGGCAAAGGATAAAACAGAATTAATTGATAATAAGGAAGGGCAAGATGAGAGGGGGAAAAAAAGGTAAAGACGCGACCATACCAAATCGGTTGTTCCATAAAGTGATACTTTTCATCGTTACGTAACGACGGATTTAACGATACGATACAATAAAATTTAAGTAACAATCAAAACAAACATTGTATTAAAGTAACAATACGATACAATACAACAGGTAACAACCATCCAAACAAGCTGTAAGTAAACATGTCGCTCCATTTAGACATGCATCTATCAAATATTTAAGCATTTGCATTATCTAGTACTAGAAGTTCTACGTTTTCTACTGGCTTACAAATCTCTAGAAAGGCTAAAAGACTCTTACCAGACATAGCATAATGTAAATATACCAACATGACTAAACATTGATCCCAAAAAATTGATATCGTCAATATGGATCTTTTTCTTTCATTCTGCCTTGTTTTGCAATAAGTTTACATGGATTCCAAGAGATTGCTAGTCCTTCGAGACAACTTCCTTACATGACATTTTAGGTTTACATTGTCCTTTTTAAAACTTTCAATCACCAGATTTCAAATCTACCAACCGATGCATCTGGATATCGACGTACGCAACATGATCAAACAATGTGGTTATTTCTAACCTTGTATGCCTCCATATCCACAAAAACATAAATTCACATAGTTAGGTTACACTGCTTGTAATGTACTCTTATATTTAAAAGAAAACCTACAGGCATTTTTCACTTCGTTATCTTCCGCACACCAAAACAGTAAACATCACAAGATGACGTATTAAATTTATGGACCAAAAGAGAATGGTTGTCAAACCATCAGAAACAAAAAGAAAGTATGTCTCTATGGATGTTACTTGATTTTCAAATCAACCCGATTTTCATGACCCAACCAAGAAAACCTTGAGTCATCAACAAGAAGAACCTGAGTCAAGTGATCAGCCGTGTTTTATAATCCCTATGTCATCTGCCCATAGAGAAAACAATGCTACTACTCCTCCAGGGGAAGATGCGGTCAAGACCAATTAGTGGAAGACATACTGACCTGACGAGGTAAGAGAGGACTAGTTGTCCCTTATGTTCCTCTTGTTAACAGCGAGGATCTTTCCCTTGAATTGGGAAATGTTAATATGCCTCAAGATGAAGAGAGTGAAACTAACCCTGAAACTTCTGATCTTGATCTTACGATTGCAGTCAGGAAAGGGGAAAAAGAGCCTGTACCTAACTCCCTTTGAACTACTATATATCCTATCCAAAATTGTCATCCTCCTACAAGGCCTTTATATCCACTTCTAATTCGGTATCCATACCAAANTGCTTGTGTACCTTTTCTAAAGAACTATCCATTCCTGCCTCTTCCTCTTGCTTGTAGCTATTGAAGTGACTCTTGCTTGTTCCTTTCGGTGCCGATGCCTATATTATATCCCCAGCTACTACCAATTCCAGCTTGCTTTTGTTCCTGCTTACACTCCTAAGCCAATACTCCGAAACCTCTTATTCTGGCTTTCCCAAAGTGGCGAGGGGGATGAGCAGAAAAAGAATTCTGCTCTTTTGCTTAGCCTTCGGTATACTATTCCCTGACCAGTATCATCATCTTTCACAGAGCTGAAAGCATAAGTACTTATCTACCTATCATAGGAAGCGAAACTACTCCTGATGATGCTTGCCTCATGGCAACTTATGGAAAGGAGAGTACGAGACAACAAGAGGGTCTGTCAGAGAGCAAAAAGATCGGGAGTCTTCCTTGGAAGATCTCAAAAGGATGCTTGCTGCTTTAAATGAAGAGGGGTTGGCAATAAAGTTCTTTTATTTTTGTTGGTAAGTGACGATGGGCAAGTAAAGAAATTGTGAATAAAAGGAAGAAAGAATTCAAAGAAATAGATGATATAGCTCAACGTATTATGATTTATAGGTTTGATTGTGCACAATAAGGAATAGAGAAGTTAGATCTCACGTCATCTGGAACACATGGAAGAAATGGCTACAATGAATAAGAAAGTACAAACCTTATTAGCAAAAGCTTCAGCTACAATAAGCTGTATAACTTTCTCATATTGTGTATCCAAATAAATCAAGTTAACCTACATCCAAGAGAAATATTCTTAAATCATTATTAATAATATAAAAGTTGTCCAAGGTACCGAGGGAGAACATCCCCTAGTACCTTTAGCAATTCATATTTTCTATTAGTACATAACATGTAACTAAGACAGGTCAACATACGTTTCTGTGATATGGAATAATTTCCCTTAAACATCCACTGCAATGGCCATCATTGTAAAAATATTAAAGAAAGAGTCACTAAGATAGTAAACTGATACACTTAAACATTGCACCACAAGAATGATGAAAAGTTTTGTATATTGCTGACTCTGGTATTACATAGTTGTTAATAAGCACATAATATCACGTTTATGTTCTTCCACTCAAAATTAAGATGAACAGTGTTAACAGAAAAAAAGTACAAAATAGTTCACAAACTTACAAGCAAAATAGCCTGGAAGGTGAGGTCCTATCCAGGTAAGTCTAGAAAAATAAGAATTGAAAGATCTACTACAAGCTTATTCAAATATAGCTATGCCTTATTTAAACATACGATTTCTTAATTTCACATACTTACAACAGCCCAGCTTCCTAATTAGATGAGCCCTCTATCTTGCCCATTGGAACTGTTCATGCCGATTAAAAACTTTAGAGGTGCCTTGAATATCTCTTTCTCTGATTCCTTTCTATGAAAGTAATGAGCTTATAATTTCCCTCTCTCATTCTCTTCGCCTGTTACCGGAAGCAGGATGATTTTAAGTGCAAATATTTCCATGGTACTTGATCTAAATACACTCTGCCAGTTAAGCATTTTTTTAAACAGTTAATACACCTACCAAATCAGCATTAAAAGTTATAATTAAAAACAAATAGTATTTGTGTTAAACATGAGTCAGAACATTCAATTTACAGCATTCCTAACAGCTTCGTGAAATCTGCACCAGATTTGAAATTCTGGCAGTAGTAGCATCACAAGATTCACAATTTCACAGAGTCATTTTTTTTTCTTGAAACGTGTTTGTCAACTCAATAATTACATCGCAGACCAAGATCGAAGATGTAACCAAGCTCAAGCACCTTCATTCATTCAGTTACAAAAGAAGAAACTTGAAGTATTAAAGGATCGGAACTAATTCACAGCATATAAAAACATAATCCTTCTTGATATACAGCATTTGAATATTCCTCCTAGAGTAAGTACTGGTTCAATGATAGAAAACGAATTCAGAGACAAATTATTCAAGTCCCATCCATCAAAGAAGTTATACGGGCAAGACCAAATGGCCAACGCCTAGTGAGCCTCTTAGCACTAAATCTGACGCAAGGGCTTTGGCTCTCAACGAATTGAGCATTAAAGTCATTATTTTTGGTACAGCATAATCAAGGAAGAAGGATATATGACTTCCTTTTAATCTAATACTCCATCCATCCCAGTTTATGTGGCACTGTTTGACCGGCACGGTTTTAAGGGGGGGAAAAAAAGACTTTTGAAATTTGTGTTCTAACACATGCCTTAGATATTTGTTTGGCTGTAAATCATCTCACTATCGGTAAAGGGAAATTTTAAAATTAAATTGTTTCTAATTAGAAAGGTGACATTCTTTTTCGGATAGACTAAGAAGGAAAATGTGCCACATAAATTGGGATGGAGGGAGTAATTAAGACTTAAGTTCGACATTATTAAAGAAAACCCTATGCGGTAACAAGAAGTAACCATTCCTATTTTGTCCTGTAGTAATAACTTCCTCTTGAGCAAATTTGTATTAGTATATTACTAGTTAATCATGGTATTTAGTAAATTAGAACAAATAATTATATAGCAAATTGAATCCTGGCCACATAGGTGAGAGTTACCTAATAAATTTTTTTCTCGAAAAGAATTTATTTAGCAAATCTCCTTGCCACTGACCAACTTACCATAAGTATCAATCAACATTTGAATTCATTTACTTTAGCCACTAAAAGCATTCATATTAAGTTAGTATCTTTCTACTCTAACCGTATTTCCAGGATCTTTCTGGATGAAATTTTCCATTACTTTATCTTCCACAATTATAGTTGAACTGCTGCTTCAATGTGTCAGAAGATTACTTGAACCTCAAAAACATAAAGTCAAAGCTGGAGTTAATGAGATTTAAAAATTGGAAAGCAAACAGGGCAAGGCGACTTTAATAGCTGATATGCCTATTAATACATAGTAAACTCTATTATTACGTATGAATTTTTCCTCTATATTCCCTTTTCTTAAATGCACTGATGCATCTTTTTCCAGCTAGAGTTTCATCGATATTCAGCTACTATCAGCTCCAACATCATCTGTAGCCCCTACGTCTTATTTCCCCAACACGAGGACGGAGCTCGCTCCTCAACAATTTCAACCGCACTCATCCAAAATATTCATTGTTGTATACTTGTATATATCAATCAATTGTGCCTCAATTCCAACTATTATATGTATACCTTCCACGCCATTCAAACCCATTTCTTTAGTATTGAGAGGATTGATCATAGTTAAACTATTTTTACACTAGTTTTCAACCTACCACAACCCTCTTCCTTTTCTCGTCTCAGGATTCGGTATGCCTTGCAAAACTCATATATGCTCCAAACTAAAAAGGAAATAATCAAGCAGCATATGCATTGACCAAAAATGTGTGACGAAAACAAATGACACAAAACTTTGCATACAGAGATCACACAAATACAAAACGGCATCAACATGGTAAGAATCACAACAACCATCAATCCAGTTACAGATAAATCCAATGACCTATTTCTTACTAAGCTAAAAATGAGAACTGCAACAAAATTACACATAACTATCATACACCAATCAATCAACTAGTTGTAGTCTTGAGTATATGAATCCTTTTTATCCATTTATCGATCTTATTTCATTCCAATACTGGTAAATAATTTGTTTTCTAAATAATACAGGTATCCAATGGAATTGTCGAGATGCCCACAAACTGGCTAGAACACCACTGTCGTAAAAAATAATTTATTATTTTACAGTTTTAAAATTAAAAATAATAATAACAGTCACAATAAGCAAAAAGTAAAAACTCACCTATTAAGACATTGAAAAGACGATCTTTTTTAATATCTTCCTTTTTCGACAAACCGCAATGAGGCACTATTTCACCCTCATGTGGCCTTAGGGCTACAAAAAAAATGAACAAAACCCACAAACCTAATAAGATAATAATAAACTATAGCAATAAAATTCACCTCACATACCCCAAAAAAATCAAAGTATTGAGAAAAAATTCAAGATTTTATAAAACCAGCTTGAGGTTTTGTATTTTGACTACTTTGTACCTTGAATTTTCCACAATTTGTATGAATCAGATCCAGCCAAAATTGCACGAGAAATGTTGAGAGCTGGGGATGGGATTGCGGTGGGGGTGGAGGGTGGGGATTTAGGTTCCTCTGATCATAGTTGCAGGAGTTTTGAAAATGGTGACAGACATGCCGAAGGAGTAGTACTAAAATGAATTTTTGGCTTTTTTGCTAATAAAATAATGAGATTAAAGTTTGATTTTATATGTGTGTTTAATAGTGGTTATTTTCGTTTTTGCTCGGTGTATAATTTAATTAAGAATAAGAAATATTTATATGTGTGACCAAAAAGAATGATGCTTTCGTTTATATGAGGCATCAAATAATTGTTAGTAACATTAAAACTTAAAAGGTAAGTACTATATAGCGGTGGTTAGATGGACTATGTAGTATGAGATACAGTGTTGGTTAGCGAAGAAGTCTCATGTTCATAAGATGAAGGTAGCTGAAATGAGTATGTTGAGATGGATGTGCGGGCATACCAGATTAGATAAAACGGAAAAGGCCTAAAAATGTACTCAACTTTCAGAAATGGTCTATCCATGCCATCCGTTAAAAAAAAACTCATTTCATGTCACTACCGTTATACATTTGGTCTATCCATGCCATTATTGACTAACGGCTCAGTTTTTATTTGGATCATCCATGCCACTGTCGTTAGTCAATAATAGCAAGGATGGGCCAAATGTATAACGGCAGTGACATGAAATGAGCATTTTTTTAACAAATGGCATGGATAGACCATTTCTAAAAGTTGAGTGGTATTTTTAGGCATTTTCCGTAAATAGAATCAGAAATGGATGACCCTTGGTTAAAATCTGGCATGACAATTCGTTCTTTGGTAACCAACTTAACAAAATCGCCCACCCCTCCATCTAACTTCTCTTGGATATGGATACTTCTCATACAACTTAAGATAAAAGCGTTTGTTTGGCTTCTATGTCATAATAAGCTACACACTAAAGCTTACCTTAAAAATATTAATTTAATACAAAATGCTTCTTGTATTTACTGCCACTATGAGGATGAAAATATTAAACACATCTTTCTTATATGTGATAATGTTGTTACATACCGGAAAGAATTAGGCCTTAATAATCTTATTACTAATCTAAGAGGCATACAAGGCACAAAAAACTGGTTGCAATCACTAATCAACTCTAATGGACTAACTTTTCCATATAATATAAACCCTAAAACATACTCACCTATAAGCTTGTGGAATATTTGGCTAACTCGTAGTAAAAATAACTTTAATCCATCTAAGGAAAAGATTAATGTAAAACTCACAACCTACCAAGCAACTGAATTTTGCTTACCTAAATGCTTACCATCATAAACCTAAGAAAAAACATGCAACTAATCTTCGATGGAATCCTCCTAAACAAAATCACTACAAGTCAAATACGGATGGGGCTAATGCTACAACAGCAAATGGTATTGGAGGAACAATTCGAAACTCAAAGGGTGAATGGATCCTAGGATATGCAAGAGCTATCCAAAAAGGATCGTCATTGTCGGCAGAATTACATGCTCTAATTACATGACTTAAATTGGTAGTACAATACAATTTGCAACCACTAGAAGTCGAGGTGGATGCAAAAGAAATTGTTACAATGTTACAAACTAATAATATTTCATTTGCCAATGTGTTGAATGACTGCAGGTACCTCCTCGACCAGCTTAACAATTCACTCGTCCAACATGCGTACAGAGAACAAAACCGTGTAGCAGATCAGCTAGCAAAGGCAGACAAATGTTTTGCAACATCTTCTGAGCCATGTGTTTACACGGGTGCACCAGTTTTTGTGAAGGAAGTTTTTGAAGATGATAAAAAGCACCTTTTGGAATTAGATCTAAGGCAGGCAACGATTGAATGTAATAGTAATTACAATGCAAACAATCTTATGTATGTTAATAGTAGTAGCACTAGTACTATATCTTCCTCTAGTCATAGCTTAGTACCATATGATACTAGTATCACTTGTAATGGAAGGCTAATAAAGCCACTCTCTGTACGCAGTATTATATATATATATACACACACTAAAAAAAAGTTATAGGGGACAAGATGGGCGTGGCCCCTGTGGAGGACAAGATGCGGGCTGCGAGACTGCGTTGCTCGATCATGGATAGGAAGGTATTATTGAGGACATGATCATGGATAGGAAGGTATGAAGATTTGCTCCAGCTTATTGAGGACATGATCATTGATAGGAAGGGTATGGAGATTTAGAATAAAGGTAAAGGGTTAGGATAGGTAGCCGAGTTGAGTTTTTTTTTTTTTTTTTTTCCCACCCGGTGTCCGGTACCCACATTTGGGGCCGACCAAATCCTGATTCGCGCCGGAAAGTCCCACATTGGGGGTAAAGCGCTCCCTAACAAAAGGGACTCCATATCCAGGGGTTCAAACTCGAGACCTTTGGTTATGGATGAAGGAGTACTTACAATTTCATCACAACCCTTGTTTGTATATTGGGTTGTTATTATCATTGTTGTTGTTGTAATGTTACTAGATTATTTCAACGTAATAATTATAAAATTTGTTAGTATTTATTGTATTACTCTTTACGCAATTCTTAAAAAGTAAATTTTGCTTATAAAAAACTAAAATCTAAGTTCATACCAATATGTAATGTGTTGCTTTTATTCAAATATAAACAGATTTTAGCAGCTCTTTATTATCTTTCACGTTTCAAACTTATAGTAACTAGAAAGAATATGTGGTGAGATTGTTGAAATATTATTTTTCTAATATAATTGTTTCTAAATGAAGTTTCAGTAAGTAATTGTTATATTGGAAATGAAATTGTTGAGGTTCTCGAGTTTTTTTTTAAAAAAAAAAAAAAAAAAAACTAATAGCATATTTACACTTACCTTCCCCTAGTTTGGTTGATTTACATATTTAAGTTGTGCAAAATTTCAAGTAGAAGTTTTCAAGTATCTAATCTATTTAAGCTTATTACTATGTGATTTTATTTGCTGGAAATGATCAGTAACTTTTTTAGAAAAACCAATTGACTAAAACATTCCATATAATTAATAGCACTTAAGACAGAACCGATGATATAAAATAAACATTTTTCAGGAAAAATAAAAAGAAAATTATCGCGCTATTTTTATAGTACATTAAAGTAATATATGTACTTATTATATACGCTTTTAGCGCCAATCAGTATTAGTTATTGAGTATTTTCACCTTGATCTATTACTTAACTATTTGGCAAGGCTTCTAAACTACTTGTTTTGATAAACACTTTTGTCCAAATAGCTTTTAAGAGGAATTTTTTTTTTTTTTTGAGAGAGAAGCGATTTGCGTTTGGTCAATCACTTAAAAAGTGTTTTTATTTGATAAACAGCCTGTATTTGGCCAATTTTTATAAAAATTAATTTGAGTGTCAAATGAAAAAAGGCAGTAATAAGTTTTATTTTACAATTAATATTATTAAAATAACGAATATTTTTACATACTTTTATGAATGCTTTGATTAATTTTTATTTATTTATTTATATTATAAAAGTAATATAAAAATATATATTATGACTTTTATAAATATAAATATAGTTAACACAAACATGAGGAGAAGCGGGTCGAAACATTTTTCTGCTTTTGCTTATTGGACTAAGTAGAAATTTATAGCTTCTCCCAAACAGTAGGAAATAAATTTCTTCTTGTTTGTTAAACATCTCAATTCTCTCCAAACAAAAATAAAAATTTGTAAAAGTGCTTTTGGCCTTTCAAAGCTTACCAAATAGGCTAATAATCATAGTAAGTCAATGTGATTTGATGTCAACGTTATATTCCCTCCTCTATTACTCTTTTGACGATTCTTGTGGGTCTGTATTGTGTTTGAGACTTGGGCGTATGCCCGGAATTAAATTTGGAAGTACCTAGCTTGAATTATCGCCATTGACAGAAACTAGAAATTTAAAGATTTGAAGAATTCCTAAATTTGGCCATAATTGGATATTTTGTTGATACCGGGTCCCGATTTGGATTCCGAGAGCTCGATCAGCTTCGTAACAATATTTATGACTTATGTACAAAATTTGAAGTTATTCCGAGATGCGTAGGCACGTTTTCCATTAGTTTTTTTATATAAGAAAAAGGTTTGATTTTATAAAGCTTGAATTTCTAAAGTTTGACCGGAGATTTGACTTTTGAGCAAACGACTCCGGAATGTAATTTTGATGATTCCAATAGCTTTGTATGGTGAATTCGGACTTTGGCGCATGTCCGAATTTGAATTTGGAAGTCCATAGGACAATTCGACACATTTTAGTGAAAGTTGGAAAATAGAAGATTTTTGGAAAGTTTGACCAGGAGTTGACTTTATTGATATCCGGGTCGGAATCCAGTTCTGGAAAGTTTGATAGGTCTGTTATGTCATGTATGACTTGTGCGCAAAATTTGAGATCAATCGGACTTGATTTGATAGGTTTCGGCATCGAATGTAGATTTTGGAATTCGTTAGGTTTTATTAAGCTTGAATTGGGGTGCGATTCATATTTTAATATTGTTTAATGTAATTTGAGGCATCGACTAAGTTCGTGTCATATTATGGGACCTATTAGTATACTTGGTTGGGGTCCCATGGAGCTTGAATGAGTTTTGAAAAAGTTTTTGGAAGAGTTTGGTGTTTTGAGTATAAGTATATAATGATCCAAAGGAACATTTTTAGTTCTAGAGATTGAAATTCATTTTCAAGACTTCCGGGAGTTTGATAAAGAATTATAGGAATGATCTGGAATGTTTGGTCTAATTTCATCAAGTCGCGATTGGGTTTTTAGCGCGAAACATGAGTTAATTATTTAATGAGAAAAATTGGTATCGCATTGAGCAAATGAGCTCCAAATTGAATTTCGATTGAACGATTAGGTTTGTATTATTATTTGTGACTCATAGGAACAAAAATCGTCGAATTCCGAGTTCGTATGATGGAGTTAGAGCCTATTTAGTGAAATAATAAATTTGTGGTGCAAGCAGGTTCTCGTGCGGACCTTTAGTGATGGGAAATGGACTTTTAGTGACGAAAAATGAACTTTTAGCGACTAGATTAGTGTTTTTATTGGGCAGTCTTTTTATAAGATCATTTCAACATTTTTGGAGCTAGGGAACTCGGATTTGGGCGATTTTTTAGAGGATTTTCA